ACCCCCCTAGGGGGGAGGGGTACGAGAGGGGGTCAAAACCAATGGTGTCAATCGATAGAGGACTGAAAAGTACCCTAGGTAGGGGTGAAGGTTCATGTGGTGTTTTACACCTTGACACTGAAATGGAAGTCTATATATATTTTGGGGGTAAAAAAATAAACATACCCCCTCCAAAAAGGGGGAAGGGGGGGTCGGATGAAAAAATTAGTGATGCAAATCGATAGAGCGTCAAAAATTACCTCAAGAATGTCCATTTTCCAAAGATGCATTTTCAGTCAAAAAATACGAAAGGAACGTTGGGAAAAATAACCCCCCCCTTGCGGATGTATGCGAAAATGTCTCGATTTAAAATCTGAAAAGTAAATTCTGCACTACAAATAAAGAGTTGACTGCGATCATTTTTGATCGATGCAAAAATATACAAAATTGATTCAGGAAACATCGCAAATTGCAAAAAATTGCATAAAATTTAAATGGTGTTTCATAAAACTCCATCTTCAAATCGATTCAATGAAAAAACAAAAATTCAATGATTTCGTGTTCCATATGGAACTCTATAGAGCGTGTATGATCTATTACTTCAAATATCCGTTGCTCATGTGATAAACGAAAGCGTTGGACTTCAATTCGCCATCAATTGGAATGATACTTGATGCTGTCATGTGTGTGAATTTTGACAACGTCATGCTGTGGTGCTAGCTTATTGTCACGTGTGCCACGCTCTTGAAAATTCGATTATTAATTCGCATTGTTTCCAATAAAATCATAATTTTTTGCTTCAATCGATTTATTTTTTGCGTATAAACTCAAAGAAATGAAGATGTCGGAAAATCGGTGGAAGTATGAAATGGATGAAATGATTATAGGTGTCGAGAGACAAGTCATTCATTCATTGCGTAAGATGAACCGATCGGGACGTCCATTCGATGATGAATTCCAATCATACTTTCATCGAACATTAAATGAAAGGTAATCAAATTCCAAAATATGTCCCCAATGACTGAATATTTTTCCGTGACTTTAGATTGGCATCGATCTATGCGCGCATTGAAATGGAGTTGGTTATGGATCCACAAATTGCACAGAATGCTGAATTGTACAGAAATGGAATATCAACAACTTCTTCGATTGGTACACCAGATCAACGTCAATCTCCGGCTTCAGTTCAAACGGAAGATTTTATACGCGAACAAACGACCTTTTATCGGAAGGTTGACGCGGACAATGGTTCGATTTTGGGTAAGTTTTGAGAAATTCGTTTGATTGAACAATTTTGATTGATTTAATTTCCGAAAGGTGTCTTCGAGGAAAGAACAACAACTATCACTCGTCAAACAAACGATTCGGATTCGGAAATTGATGCTTTATCGGAGGCCGAACACTTTTCTGCCGAACCAATTGTCGAATATCCCGACGAAGATAAACAAGGTGGAAATGGAACTTTAAGCCCAATTCTGATTGATGACAAATCAAACGATGGCATTCTAAAGAATACGGCTGGTGTGACTGATGTGAATGGCGATGGTTCAATTGAAGATGAAGCAAATCGAACGATTAAAGCCACCAAATTGAAACGTTCGAAAAAAGTCCCAACCAAAATACGTTCAGCAAAAAAATCACCTATCATCCATCGGTGTGATCAGTGTAATTATGCCACTTCAAGAATTGGGCATTTTTACCGGCATAAGCTAACTCACACCGATCAAAAACCATATCAATGCCATCGTTGTTTCAAAAACTTCAACCGCTCAGATAACATGAAGAGCCACATGAAACTATTTTGTAAGAAGAAATCTTCTTAAATGTTAATCGGGACAAAGTTCCAAAGTACTTGAACAAAATTCAAATAAAATACTGTATTTGAAAATAGCACTCATGTTTTATTCAATCGTTGTTTATTCGTAAGGGCAAAACGTATGGAAATATGGAAAAGATAGAGAGCGAAGTAGAAAAAGAGACAAACTGGACTTATCAATCAATTTCAAGCTTTAGCTTTGAAGTCAGAGAAAATAACCAAATAAATTGGGTAAACTTGAATTGAGTATTTAATGCGTATTATTGTATGACAGTTTTGATTCAATCTAATTGATCATCTGATATAATAATATAAATATTTTTCCGTAAGCATTTTATGTTGAAATCAAATTAAGTCTGTCTTCAATTCTGTTGGCAATGAACCGCTGCATTGTTGTGAAAATCGGTCATCGTAAAATTCACATCGAAATGTCGTACATATAACTTTCGTAGGGGCAACGTTTGAGCATTGAGTCACGTGCATTCTTGTCGTCTTCGTTTTCAAATTCGCCTGACCACATTTGGAGCAGCGAATTTGACGCGGTTTGACATAAGTGTATTTGGATTGCATGTGGTGCCTCAATTGACTTCTGAAGAAACACTTGTCTCTCCTTATAATGACGACTTGCCTCGTATACTTTTATTGCGCAGTGCTCACGATAACTCTGTGCGATTTGTCGAATTCGCACTATGAATAAAGGCAACGATGTATGTCGATTGCCGATAGTTTGTCGTAGCTCAATGAAGCTGACTAAATTCTTTCTGTCAATAAAGCGAATAAGATCAATCGATTTGATTATATGCAATAAATGTAAATGCGTATCTTTATTATAAATTTAATTTTATAATAAAAATGTGTAAAAATTAATATATCTTATAGCGTAATGAACTAAATTAAATATTTCCAGTGGAAACTAGACGAAAGTTGAGAGACCATCACAAGTTGCTTTTTAACATTTCAATTGTATATTCAGAGCATGAAAGTATTAAGGATTTTTTCTTTTTTTTTTAAATAATATGTTTTAAAATTTTGGTCTGTTTCTTCATCTTCATTTTGTCTGGTGCTTAATGAAAAAAAAAGAATTACTATCAGTTCACTATAAATATCTTGAACATAAACGAAAATATTGAATGTAATCAAATCGTGGGTCCACTGAAGAAGTCGTTTTTATGTGTCTACACTTATTTGGATTGTTTACAGCACCAACTATTGATCGGTGCTATCCTTTGATGGAGTCGACACTGTGTTTGCTTCATCGAATGATTTTGTGATGGTGTTTATTTTATCGGTGCTATCGGTTTTGGAATTTTCATAATCATAGCTTTTCGTTGTCGTCACTTTTGCCTGTTTTGCTTGATTGGCATTTACATTGGTATCGGAACCATTGTCGCCGTTGTGTGTCTCACCAACGACCGTTGGTGTGTCTCGTTCATACAAATAACTTGTACTTAAAGGCCTTTGACCGTACGGAGAGCTAGAAGGGGAGATAAAAAGAAACTATTTTTTAATGTTAAAATATGTTAAATCGAAATTATCTACGAAATTGCTAGTAAATTGGGGATTTGAATGTACGGCCCCATTCAATGGGCCAAGCTGATGCTCTTTAGACATTTTAATCAACTTTCAAGGATATAAAATAAGATTTCTTAACTTTAGGAACCAAAAACTGGTGTCGTTTCTTGAAAAATTGTTGTCGTTTACGAACATTTTGTGCGTCCGAAGGCCTGAAGTACTTTTCGGGCGGACGGACGGTCAAAATGAACACCTCTTTCGGACACGAAATTTTTTCGCTTATTTTAACGTCAAATCTTTTCTCCCTTTCTTGTACGGTGGAACTTTCAATCTTTTCACACTTTCAAACCGTTTTTAAATGAAAAGAGTTGAAGAAACTTCCATTTCAAAACGATTTCCATTTTGAAGAACAAAAGAATGAAAATAGTTTTGAATGTTTAGCAGAACAGCAGTGTCGGCTGTACTATGAATCCAATGGAAATTTAAATGAAATGACTTTTTATGCGGATGTCGGTGACAAAATGAAATTTCTTTTCAACCTCAAACATTGTGCAAGACCAAACCGAACTTTTGTGGTTTCAACTCTCAATTCTTTGTGTAGCACACCCACCAAAAACAAATTGAAAATTCAAACAATTTCTCATTTTTTGACGAAAAACTTTTGCTGCGATCATTAGACGGCATAAAACGTGTAAAATATTCATTTTTTTATATTTCGACGCACGGCATATGCATGATAAAATGCCCTGTTCCATAAACATTATCAAAAGTACACCAACTGTATAGAGTTTTTGTTTAAAGTTCATGATAGTGACTTTAGGTCAGGTTTTCTTCTTGTGATAGCTTTATACAGTGTATCCCCAATTCCCCAATTGTATTACCCAACATGATTGCGATTGTACCTACCTTTGATTTTCTTTATCTTGTGACTGACCGTAACCTTGTTGTCCGTGATGCGCACTATTTCGGTCATTTGAATTGATGTAATTCCAACTGCCACCATATGATCCTTTGTCACTGTTGCTATTACCTGAACCGCTCACCGATTCGGAACCATATGTGGGTTGTGACTGGCTGGATGATTCATGGTGGCCACCTTGTTGTTGTGGAAATGGTCGTGGAGGTGCTTGTTGGTGTTGATTGTTTTGTGGCAATGGCGGTTGCGATGGAACATTCGGACTACTTGGATACTTTGCATAGTAATGACCATGGCCTTGATCATCGAAACCACTTACACCTCTATTTTGCAAAAAAAATATGTGCAAACAAGTGCAAATCCAATCAAAACAATTAATTATTTGGCCAAAACACACACAAACATAGTGATACAAAATGTGTTGATCTAGTGTTTTCTTGCAAGTTTTTTTTAAGTAAAGACATTTTTAATACCGATAAGTTTGATCCCATGGACGGAAATTATTATCTTCATATCCGTAGGCATTTTGTCCACCGCCTCGATTGCCGCTATATCCACTGTAGCTGCCGTAACCCATGTTTTTGTCGTAATATTCTGGACGCGTTGGTCTTTCATATGGTCGTCCCTGTCCATAGTAACGATCTTGGTCGTACATAGAGCTCTGATAACTTGGTCGCATATAATAATTATTGCCACCATACCCAGCACTGCTGCCACTATAGCCAGCACTGCTGCTATAACCACGATTTGACATTCGATCTAAAAAAAATCATTCATAATTTTCATGGCATGGTGTGCAGAAAAGTAAAATGAAACAGGTTTTGCTACCGTCATAGTATGATTCATATGAACCATCACGATTGCCATAGCCACCACGATTGTTTCCTTTCATCGAATAGTATGCGGGATCACGGTTGTCGTATCCATTTCCTCGATAATCTTGGTAATTTTGTCTGTAATCATTTCGATCATATCCACCGGAACCACCGGAAACACCGGAACCGCCAGCACCAGGCATGGCACCAGGTCTACTATAGTCATACCGATTTTGTTGTGGGTACCTGTTCATTAAAAATGTATTTCTTTATTTTATATTTCTTCGGTATTAAACGGCAATATCAATAAAATCAGTCAGTGATTTATTATTAAGTTAAAAAAAATGTTCGAAGTTACGTATAAAATTAAAATAAATAAATAAAAATGTACCGATTTTCATATTGTGTGTTTCGATTGCGATCATCCGATTGATAGTACCAATTTCGATCTTCAGTTTCACGCTGAGGTGCATGAATTGGCATCATTCCATATGATGAATACCCCGGTCTATAATTGTAATAAAAGGAGTCATAATACCTGCAAAACATGTCACAGAAAATATTATCAAGTGGTCGGAAGCGGTGCTAATAACGCTTGTGAAGTAAATCAATCAATTTAATGATATTCGATAAATCAGAGCTACTTTGTGTATAAACCGTCGGATTCTGAATTATGAAGAGAGTGACATCATATGTACATTTGATTTTCTTACAAAAATCCACCTTAGATTCTTCAAAAAGTCAACTTGCCGCCACTACTTCTTAAACTTTTTTGATTCATACTTCAATTTTAATTTCTTATTAATTTGGATTGAATAAAATAGTCTTTTCCCGACTATAATCGTTAGCAACTAAATTGATCTTTCTGTGCATCTTATTGAAGAATGACAATAATAGCAAAAGATGATGAAAAGATCACTTTTTTATTTATTTTTGGATTTTCGCCTCAAAAAGTGAATTCCAAAAAAAAAATGATAATTTGATTGATTTGCTAGAGAATTTTTTGGTTTCGAAAAATGACCCCCCCAGAAAAATGTTCCTCGCACACTACTGGTGATAAATAGATGTGAAAACTGAAAATTTCAATGCGGTGCAATGTTAAAAACGTTGCTATTGATTCTCTTCAAAAAATAAATGTTGTGCGTAAAACTGTGTGTATGTTTCACACGTGTTATTGTAAATATTGTTAGCATAATTGTACCTGTTCCTATCTTGATTGCCGTTCATCGCTGCATATAAACAACTGATGCACCTGCTTTGCTGTGGTCGATCATATGAGCGGTAATTATAGCCGCCACCGGATTCGTATCCATTATAGTCACGTGCTTCGCGATAAACTGGTCCCAATGCCGACGAGGATGGTGTTAATTTGGTGTTTTCAGTGGGTAAAATTGATGGACTAACTGTAGCCGCTGAAGTTGCAAGCAAAAATGCAACCCATAACCCGACCAACTAAAAAGACGTATTCAAATGTTTTTTTTAAAAAAAAAAGCCATTCTTATCATTAGATTTATGTTCATGATCTTTTCAGTAAATCGCCAACAAACAAAGTTCTGTCATATTTCTTCAGTTCTTTGAGTTTTGGCTAATTTATTCGTAGATTGATTCAAATGTATAAAAAAAAACTGTTCATGCAAGTGTTTCTGTTATTAAGTAATTATATTCACAAGGCGAAGAGGCGCCCAATTTTGCAATTGAAAAATAAAATTCGGTGGCAGTGACGGGCATCAACACCGCAAACCATCACATGCAAGAAAAAAAAACAAACAATCATCTATTTTTTACAATACGGCATCGTTACCTCGTTACTATGGGAGTTTTTTTGTTTCATTTGTTAACTTTTTTTTATTATTAATCTCGACAAAATGCGATATGTATGCGACCAACAGCATACACGGACTGACACGCATTGTTAACCATGCAAAGTTCCATTCAGTCAAACTGTTCAGCATTTTTGTTGTCTTTGTTTTCACTCTTCGTTTACTCTGCGCTATCTTTTTTTTCGTACGTTCATTGTGTATGCTTTACATCAATGGAACTGTTCTGTGCACTTCTAAAGTTCAACAAAAATTTCGAACTCTTTTTTATATTAATAAATATTTTCAGAGCATTAAAATACCGATCATTTACTTGAAATGTGTTTTTTTTTCTTCTTCTTTCAGATTATTTTGTCAAATTTGTTTACTTTTAATGGAAAAATGTTTGAGGTAAGCACAATGCATGAATTTTAGCGCATGTAATCTTCCTCATGAATATTATTATTTTTCCTATATTTTGAAGTGATGTACCAATTTTCTATAATTATTTCGAATTTTGCATACGATTTCACTATAATTCAGTGTAAATCAATCTGGGGAAGTAAAGAGCACAGTTATTACTATAATAACATCTTATTTGCGTGAGTATGTTTACTCGAAGAACAAACAGTTCGGGGAGTTTAAAGAATTTTCCAGCCGGTTGAAGTGAAACGTACTTTTGCATGACTTCATGAGTCTTCAAATTGTATGCGCCGTTTAAAAAAACTACTTTGTTTTAAAAAGCAAAAACTTTCAAGCGCGCGTTATTACCAGATCATGAACGAACTTTGGATGCGATGTTAGAACAATACGTTGTAAAATCATTAATCCAAAAGTTGCTGCAATGTAATCTCACCTTCATCAGGATTTGTTGCATCATTTTCCCTTACTCTCAAACTTGATTTTTCGATTTTAAGCTCTTTTTTTTTCAGCTTTAAACACAAAATCAATATAATTCGATGATTATTTTAACACTTTTTTTTTATCACATACACAAATGTCCACAAAATTCACTGAATTATCTCTTTATCCATTTATTATCTGAATGAAATAACAAAATGAAAGTGCTTTGCGAAGAGGTTAACAATGAACCAAACCGAATTGTTCTCAGCACTGTTGATCTGTGCGTTTGATACTGAAGTGCGCTAAAATAGCTACGTTTGATATGCACGAGAACCTACACAAAAGTGAAATAAAACAGTTCCCACTCATGACTTTTATAACGTTTCGTTCGTTCGATTGAAAATTCGTTGGTGTTTATTTGTTTTAAAGCAGTGTGGATACTGTGCACATCACCGTATAAATACGCTTGATCATCAGCGAACATTCTTTCTTCTTCACTCCAGTGGCGGATGCTCGTGGTGCTCAGGTATGTTACATACATACACGTTTCGCATGAAGCGCTTGTAAAGTTTACAACGATACGATAGTTAAAGTCAAATTCACCATTCATTTCATAGTAGTTGGAGACTTTTTTTCCATTTCCATTCAATTATTGTAGTTGGGGTAAAATAGTGACTTTTGATCACCATTGATTCTGTTTTACTTTTGCTTAATGCTGCTTTGATTCAAGAGAGAAGATTTAGAGAGAGAGAAAGAGACAGAGATAGAGAGAGGGAGAGAGAAAGATCAATAATACTGAAGAGTCTTGGCAAATTTTCGGCTCTTGGATTCGTTCTCTTGGAAGCACATCGACGGCCCGAATCTACGGTTCATACGATGCGTTTATTTAAACATCGGTTGACAAACGAATACATCTATCTCTATTTCATCGTCACATCGCTATTATTCTAACGCTTACACTCTTTATCTCAGTATTTGAATCGAATAATTCGACAATCTGATTCTGCTTTCTAAATCCAAATAAATATGAATTTTTGATTAAAATTTTTCGAGCAGCAAACAAAAAAAAGGGCAATTTTCTAAATGGCATTTCAAAATTACCATAAATATATAACGTTGTGCCATTTATATCTTTTCATCAGTTCCACCTGCGACTGTGTCCACTCAATCTTTCTTTTGCGTTCATTTTTCAATGCTATTTTTCTAAAATATAAAAAAGTGTGTGTTGTCTATGTTTATACGCTAGTTAAATGGCGTTTTGTTTTCTAGCATTGTTTTTATATTACATGCGTCCGACCGTAATTTATGTGTACAGCTAATCACTTTTAGCTGTGAATTTTCATTTCCACTACTGGGCTCAGCACATATATGTCCAATTCGCATACGCTGAAGACCTTGACATGAATTAAATAGTCTGAAAATGATGTGTATTAAGAAATTTCTTATTGAATCATTTTAAATTATTTATCGTGTATTTTTTTCAGTAGTTTTTGGCATCCCGGTTTGGTTACGATTCTATGCATCTCGCACAATGTGCGATTTTTGAATTGTCTTTTTCGCTTTTTTTTAGTTGTGATTTTTGACGAATGTATACATGCACGAGAGTAACAAACCAAAAGATATAGATATAGTACCGAAGAAAGATTACTTCATTTTTTTTTAACTGAACCGTTTCCTCTTTTTCACGTATTTTGTTTTTGCTCAATATTAAATTACATTATTATAGTTTTGGTTTAATATCTGAAGGCTACATAAATTCATTATTATTTTTACCGTTTCATATGAATACTTTTTTGTTTTGTTTTTTTTTTCTGAGCGATATAAAGCTTATTTACGATAAAATAATAATTAATTTTTTTTATAATATCATCCGATTGTTTGCCAACGAGACTTGGAATTCAATTAAGAGTCATCGTTCTTTGTGGTAGCGAAAGAAGGAAGAAAACCCAGTCACTTATTATAGAACAATGTAGTTTGAACCGTATAAGGTTCTTTGTAAAAGAATATATTAAATTGGTGGTCGGACATTGTACAGAGATGGTTTCAGTCAGGTGGCTGATTTATATCTCGATTATCTGCCATCTCTGTTAGCCGTTAGTCTAAATTTGAGAAGTCTCAAGCACATGATGTATTTGATACTTTTTTTGGTTTTTCTATCATTTTTTCTAATATTTTCATACATTTTTTTTTCTGAAAAATAAATCTTTCTTATAAAATCTGAAGTTTTTTTTATAGAAGACCTACGGTTTCGTTGGTGATCACCTCCAGTCAGGTACCAACGTGAGTATTCATGATGAATATTCGCTTATTGACTAGAGATCCAGAGAAATACATGTTATTTTGGATTCAAAATGCATAATTTATTGGATTTTCGTTAACAGTCATCACACCCTGGCTGAAAGTCTATCCCGTACGATCCCGTATTTTGCAAACAATCGATTTTGAACGACCGAAAAAGAGATGAGTCGAAATTTTTCACACATCCACCAACAAAGGCCCTACCTTTCTCTTTTACTCTCTCACAAATAGCAGTTCAATCACAAGCGAGATTTCAGCTGAGCCAATTGCTCATCGTCCTCAATACATTGTCTGAGCATGACTTCTATTAGTACATTGTCTTCTGTTACAATCGAGCGATGACAAACTGCACTATTCAATTGCAAAGTGCACACCATTCACAAGTTGAAGAGTGATTCGAGGTATGGCCAAGCATGAAATGAAATTTCATAATAAATTAAGAATATTTAAAAGAATCTTCAATCGAAATTGAGATACCGCCAAAAATTGCTCTACCGCAACCAGATTTTTTTCCACTGATGGACATTCACATTTCCACTTGGTTTCACTGCTAATGCTTTCCTGCTAGGATTTAATCGTCACACCAACAGAATCACATAGGATTTCTATTGATACAAAAAAAACAACAATTAAACTATACATTACAGTCAATAAACTCATTCCATCGTTAAATTTCTGAGTTAATTACTTGTTCGGAAGCAAAAAGTATTTCAAATAAATGATATTCTGTTGGTCTGCAATGCAGACTCTGCATGAACGAAAAAAAAACAATATTTTTTTTTTTTACAAAAATGGTCAATAAACAAAATATTAATTTTAAAATACGCAATTTGTTTTGCGATGAAAAAAACCGTCCTTAAGCGCATAAGCATTTCAAAGTCATTGGTTGTCATTTTTACCAAACATGTTGTCCACGGTGTTTAGTTAGATACATTCTATATTATGGAATTGAATGTGTGATTTTTTAATGACATTTCGATCAATGAGATTAAAGTTAATAAATACAAATGTCGCAACATTTTGTTTTAATGGTTGATGTACGCCGTTAAAAACCTTTATTATTCAAAATTTATCATTTATACGGTGATTTGGTTTCCCTTTCATAAGTGGCGTGAATGTTTAAAAACCACATTTGAAGCTGTGCTGTGATCATCGTGTTTTGCGATGTTTCCGATTCGAATTTATTTTAATGGGCGAGTAAAGTCTATATAATCAAGTCGTCGGTGTGTCTGGCCATATATCGGTGCTGACCAAAGAGTACGAAAAGCGATTAAAACCAGTTCTTTTGGTTTGACATGCTGATTCATTCAATTTTGGTGAATAATTAAGCCGCATTTCGTGTGTAAATTATGGATTTTGATTGAAAAAAATCTATTTTTTTGAGAATAAAACGAATGTCGACTTAACCATATCAAAATTGAATGAAAAACGAACGAATAAATTCTTTAGAATAATAACAAAGAATATTGAATTCCATTAATAAAGCCATTAGTCTCTTCGGTATTATCAACCAGGTTTTTTTTTTAAACGTGGACACACCCAAATTTTTTTAAAGTCCACTGATAAATCTCCATTTCAATGAAGACGGAAATAAAGGTTTTGAAGATGTAGATTAGACAACTTGGTGCCGATACAACGCAAAAAACAGCAGAAATGTTAAATTAAAATCGAACGCGAATAGAACGTATTAAATGAAGAATGAGAAACCAGTCAATCGTTGATGTTGTTTTTTTCTGCTTAAAACTCATTTTGATTGCAATGATTCAGCAGCAGTCGTAGATTTGATTTGTGCTATTTCATGGATTCAGTATATGCCCTATTAATTGCAACTTCCAACTGCTTAATATTACATTCGATACGGTTCGCTGAGCCGTATTGAGTAATACATTGGCGACTTGATTCAATTTCATATACGTGTGCCACAAACGCTATTAGTCACGCGTAATAAATTGAACTTGTTCGAGTTGTCGCACCACCGTTATTTCAATCACACCGCATTTCAATTTCAACAATAAGAAAAACCGTCGAAAAAAACCACCAGCAAATTAATTTCGATAAATGTGCTTAACCTTTCTTTTTTTCCGTTGTTTTTACATAAATAAACTAATGTTATGTCAAATTGAACAAAAGTTGCTACAACATGCGATAACATGCATCTCATATGACTTAATTTTTATGATATATTATTTTTCCAGACAAAATATAATGATTTTATTTACGTGTATGAATGTCATTATTCATCAATTCATCAATTACATGCATATTTTGAAATATTGCCGTTTGGAAAGAATTCATGCGATCAAGTTGATTTGACTCGATGATTTTTGTTAGTGCTCCACTTGTTTTTTAAGGTTTTTTTGCATTTTTAAGTGATTTTGGTGACTGTGGACGAATTTTGTGATTCGTTGATTTTGTTAGGTTTGACTGGTATTGTGTGGGTGTGGGTGTTGGTTCTGATCTTAACGCTGTCGCTGAATGACAGGAATTTGTATACCTCATACAAACTTTTAATCTCATGCAAAACAGAGCTGTTATAGGCAGTTAGGCACCGTGGAAGTACGCACTTTTTTCTTGTAAGTGTCGTTCTTTCGTTTCATGCAGAAACTTTGAAAAAATTCCATAATATGTCGTAAGTAATATAAAAAATGCCTTTCATTGACTTTGACATATTTTTCATTTTTTGTCGGAATTCTTTCATAGATCAAGTAATGAAGACACAAAAAGAATGATTGAAAAAGTTTGCGTGGACATTTATACAAATATGTGCTGGATCGAGGGAGCAGTAAATACACCAAAATATCGTGGTGGACAGCATTGACAAATGAAGCCCAACAATTGAATTATTTGCAATTTTAAACACCAAAAATGAATGAATTGTTCAACAATAAATAGATTCAAATAAATGCAATATTGAGCTGAACATTGATTTAAAATTGACCAAGATGTAATTTTTATCCGTTGGAATCAACTCTGAAAGATCACGTTTTTTTTATTTCGATACTCATAGAGTTAGCAAGCGGGAAAT